GGCAACTTCGTCTTATATTTTAAAGAACTCCCAAATTATTTTTGGATGTGGTAGTGACATTTTATATATATATATATATATATATATATATATAAGTGTTTCAATTTCTCCACATCCTCAGTAGCACTTGTTATTTCATTAACACTGAGGATATTCTGCCCAGTGTCTAAATAGAGCAAGCCAGGTACCTCTTCCAGAAATCAAGTTTCAAGGATTACCTTGTCCTTCACTGAATAAAACCAAGGATCATCAACCAATACAGATCTGAGAATCAAACAAGCCTCACTCATATTCGTCTGCATACCCCGAGGAGGCTAAGGGGCACAAGGGATCTCTGCTGGTATTATAGGAAGACTCCAGATCCTCCTATATTTCAGGCTGAGGAGAGGAATCTGTTCTGGTCCCATTGTCTATCACTACTAAGTGTCTACTTAAAAAAATAGTCACACATATACACAATGGAATATTACTCAGCCATTAAAAAGAATTCATTTGAATCAGTTCTAATAAGATGGATGAAACTGGAGCCTTATACAGAGTGAAGTAAGCCAGAAAGATAAAGACCAATACAGTATACTAACAATATACATGGACAACAGAGGATGAGATGGTTGGATGGCATCACCGATTCGATGGACATGAGTTTGAGCAAGCTCCAGGAGCTGATGATGGACAGGGAGGCCCCTTGTGCTACAATCCATGGGGTCACAAGGAGTCGGACACTGCTGAGTGACTGAACTGAACTGAACTGATTAGATCCCAGATATTCTTCTTCCTGACTGCCATAAGACTCACACTGGAGACTGGAATCGCTGATGACTGCGATATTCTTCTTTACTAACAGGGCAGGAAATATTCCCTTTTCATTTAGCACTTTATTATAATAACTATGTTATTACACATTTTTAAAAGTTTCACAAGATATTTTACCTTCATATTGGCTTCCGTAGTGGCTCAAATAGTAAAGAATCAGCCTGCAATACTGGAGAACTAGATGCCATCCCTATGAGCCCCAGTCATTCCCTGTGTCTGGAAGATCTCCTGGAGAAGGAAATGGCAACCCACTCCAATATCCCTGCCTGGAGAATCCCCTTGGACGGAGGAGCCTAGCAGGCTACAGTCCAAGAGGTCTTAAATAATCAGACACTTCCACTTCAGGTAAAGATTTTCAAGTCAAAACTCAGTGTCACAATACAGTTCTCTTTCTTTCGACCTACAGCATTTTCCTCCACGATCAGGAGCAAGGCAAGGGTGCCCACTCCCTCCACTATTATTCAATATATCAGCTTATATTATTTTATTGCAATTCTAAGTGTTAACGGGTTCGGTCAAAGTGTTCACAAAGGACTCACTGAAGTTTTCAGCTGCAGTTTGAACCAGGCAAAGGGCTCAAGTGAAGAAAGAAATCCGGCGCTTATTACAACAAAAGGCTTCCAGACCTTTTTTCAAGAGCGAAGGGCGGGGGGAGAAACAGGACGAGCAGCTCCGCGGAGCAACACTGCCACCTGCAGGTCGCAGAAACCAAAATGCCCAAGCCCCGAAGAAAATCGATCCTTTCTGCTCGGTTTTCCGGCAGAGGACTGGACAACGTAGATGCGAAACTTCAGGGGGATGCCCGCGAGGATCCGAGAAACCAAGGGAACTTCTCGAAGGGGCCCGGCCAAACCACCCCGGGACCGCGAGTTCCCCCTGACCCGCGCAGAGAACCACAGCAGGCGGGGAAGAAGTCAGGGCATCCAGGAAGATCCGGTGTTGCTGAGTGAGGCTGGGATCCGATTGGCTGGATCTCGGTCTCCCCGCCCCCCCCTTCCGCCGCGTCCGAAAAACAGTGAGGTCAGTGAGGTCAGTGAGGTCAGTGAGGTCAGTGCCAGTCTCCCAGGCTGCGTCCGCTGCAAGTTCTCTCCCCGACCCTATTTGGAACTCTCCAGTGAGGGACCTGATCCATGATACCTGGGTCCTGTCCAACTTGGCCCAAACAAGATGGTTGTTTTGAGTCACTAGCCTGCCATCTTGGTAGTCCACTCTGGATTAAAGTCCCTGACTTTGCAGTGAGCTGAGCAAGCTTGTACTGCATAACAGCTGATTACTTCCAGGTGCTTTTCACTGTAAATGTGTTATCATGTCATAATCCTGATAGAGTGGATGAGTCGTTTTCTATGTGGTTTCCCTCCCTGCTCCCCTTTCATTTAGTATCTCATTGTAATAAATACGCTATTGTTGTTTTTCAGCGGATGGGCCATGTCGGACTCTATGGGACCCCAGGGACTGCAGCACGCCAGGCTTCCCTATCCTTCACCATCTCCCGGAGCTTGCTCAAACTCATGTCCATTGAGTCAGTGATGCCGAGGCCATCCAACCATTTTGTCCACTGTCATCCCCTTCTCCTACCTTCAATCTTTCACAGCATTGGAGGCTGTTTTACCCTCAATCCCAGGGTGTATTTTATTTCACTCTTCTACTGGGGAGGGAGATGTATCCTGCAAAGCAGTGTGGAAACTACAATCTGACAGACTTGAGACCTGAACAAACGGACACTTTCTGAGGAACCCTGAGAACCTGGACAGCTGACTCTTCCTCTGTGTGCCACAGTTCCAAAATGCATAAAATGAGGGCAGTAATAGCATCTGCTTCTTGGGTGGTGTCCAGCATCAATTACCCAGCAGGATCTTAGCTTGGCACTTGTCCCTGTCGTGTTATTATTGTAGGTGGCTCAGATGGTAAGGAGTCAGCCTGAAATGCAGGATACCCAGATTCAATCCCTGGGTTGGGAAGGTCGTCTGGAGAAGGAAATGGCAACCCACTCCAATATTCTTACCTGGAGAATCCCATGGCCAGAGGAACCAGGCAGGCTACAGTCCAAGGGGTCCGAAAGAATCGGACACAACTGATCAACTTTCACTTCCCCTTCACGTAAACATTTTCAAGTCAAAACTCACTGTCATAATAAAGTTCTTTTAAACATACGGGAGGACTTCCTCTACGATCAGAAGCAAGACAAGGGTGACCACGCTGTGCACTATTATTCAATACATCAGCTTATATTATTTCATTGTAATTTTAAGTGCCAATGTGCTTGGTCAAAGTTTTCACAAAAGGCCCTCTGAAGTGCTCAGAAGCAGTTTGAACCAGCCAACACTCGAAAGCGGAGGGAAAACTCTGCCGCTTCTTGTGGCAAAAAGCTTCCTGTCGTTTTTTTCTTTGTTTCTCTTTCTTCTAGGTTTACTATTGTTCCTCTATTGAAATTCATTAAATGAAGAACAGCCTAGTTTAAACATGACAGAGGCGAATACTGTCGTTTTTTTCAAACGCGAAGGGCGGGGGAGAAGCTGCCGAGCGACTCTGGGGAGCAACACTGCCACCTGCAGGCCACAGAAACTAAAACGGCGCAAGCCCGGAAGAAAATCCTTAGTTTCTGCTGGGTTTTCGCGCAGAGGATCGGACAGCGCCGATGAGAACGTCAAGGAGGACGCCCCTGAGGACACCCTGAGAGAAAGGAAGGGAACCTCTCGAAGAGGCTCGGCAAAACCACCCGTGCCCCGCGGGCTCCCCTCAAGCGGCCCGCAGAACCAGAGCAACACGGGCAGGAAGTTGGGGCGTCAGGGAAGATGGGGAGCTTGGTGGGCGGGGCTGCGCGCCGATTGGCTGGTTCTGGGCCGGCGCGCAGGAGCCCGGTGAGGCCCGTGCCAGTCTCCTGGCCCCGGTTGGCAGGGGGATTTCTCCCGGACGGCGTTTTGAACTCTCTACTGAGGAAACTGACCGGTGACGTCTGGGTCCAGTCGCTCATGCCGAAGCCCCCCACGAGCGAGACCGGTACAAGTCCCCAGTCCATTCTCCTCCGCCCACCCCGGCCTGTGAACGCGTTACTCCCGTGATACACTCACTCTTCTCCTCTCAAGCCTTCACTCTTCTGATCCGTCCTCAGTGCCCACGAGGCTCACCCGAGACTCTCTGTCCTTAGCGATGTTCCCCTCCGCCCCACCCGAGCATCCCTCTGCCCACGGTCCCGCTCCGGGCATCAGGAAAGACCGCGCCCCTCATGGTGTCCTGTTTCCAGCATTCCTCCCTCTCATCACCCTCAGCATGCTGTCCTGTCCTCCAGCTCCCTCGCACGAGTGCCAGCGCATTGATACCACAACCTGCTGGAGATCTAGTTTACCGACCACATATCCTGCCACACCATCCTCCAGGCCCTACAAACACGCTTCTTGTGCGGCTTGCACCCTCCTGCCTACTCACTCCCTGCCTGTGTCTGAGCGCCTGAGCATCGAGGAGAAAACTTTACAGAAGTGTTTTCTCTTAAATCCATGGCCGGAGTAGACTGCTGTTCATTTTCACGGTCACCTAGCTACACTCCTACACCGCACACTAGTAACCTTCCTCCATGCTAATGGCCACCACCCCCACCCGCCAATAATTCGTGGAGAATACAGAAGCAATCCCGTGGGATTTCTGGTTTCTCAGTCCCAATCTGCATGTTTCTGCCCTAGCACTCTGCTGCCCCTCTGCAAGCCTGCTCGTGACTGCACCCAGCCCCTCACTTCTGCCTGGGATCCCATGCCTTGCACCTTCTCAGGGACTTTGCACCCACAGTCATCACTCCTGTCTCCTGAACCAGCGCCTGCTCCCTCTACATCGCAGCATTCCTCAGCAAAGGGGGGAACCCCTCATCTTCCACCACCCTATTCTGCAGCTACTGGCACATTACCGGTTGCCCTTCAAAGCAAAACTGCTTCAAATTCTGCTGAGATATTCTCTCCTCAGCCCCCTTCCATGGAGCTTTTGTCCCAGTCACTCCACTGTAACTGGTCTTGTCAAGGCCATCATTAATATCCATACTTCCTGATCCCACAGACACTCTTCAGTGCTCATCTTAGCCAACATCTCAGGCACCTCTGGCATATTTGACTCTTGTGTTCTTTAGCCCTCTGTTTTTTAAGATTTCAGGGGCGTGGGGCTTATGTGACACCCGAGTCTCCTAACTGTACTCGACAAGGTACACATTCTACAGTATGCCCCTTTTGACCTGGATGTTGTCTGGGAAGTCTTGGTCAAATGAAAGACAAGCCAGAGCAAGGAGCGTCCCAGTCACAGGGGGGAACGGCCCACAGAGGCGGTGGCAGGCAGAGGTGAGAGAGCTCAGACAAAGGAGGTGTGACAAGAAATGAAGAGGAACACCAGGGAAGGGAGGATTCCACCCCATTCACATTTGGGACTCACAGAGGCACACTGTACAATGACGCAAAGGAGTCTTTGGGCAGAACCGTGTTAGCAGTTTAGGAATTTAGTTTTCTGGAGCTGATCATGGTTCCTGCTGTGGTGCAGGTGATATCCAAGGGAGGGATCTGCGTCACCTGAGGGAGAAATGTGGAAAGGGACTGAGTCCAGAAGAAGCTTAAGCAGACAATGGGCTAGGGGACCTTGCGGCTGAGGCTGAGGAGTAAAGATCCCTGCCCAGGGATGGGCTGGACGATGAGACCCAGATTCAGAGAGGTCTGCAGATGCCAGCAGGGTGGCTGAGGCTCAATCAGCCAGGGAGCACCGTGTCCACAGCAAGAGGAGGGAGACAAAAATGCAAGTTTCACCACCCCTACCCGTGGGTGGTGCAGGTCAGCATCACCAGCTGGAGCCAGGAGAGGGAGTCATCTTTCCCTCAGGGACCACTGAGGCCACCGTGAGGAACAAAGGTGTGCCATGTTATAGACTCCCCCTCCCACATCACCGAGAGCCTTGTAAGTGACACATACCCCTGCTCCATCGCTGAAGGAAGTGGAGAACAGTTTCACCAGAACAAACTGAGCATTTGTATCTGTGGATATTTACTTGGTTGCATGCAACCACACTGTCCAGGTTAGAAGTAAACTCATTGGGGGCTTTCCCCTTATTGACCAGTATGAAGGGTGAACACTCATGATGAAGATCAGATCAGCCAGGGAGAACAAATAGAGCAAAGTGCCCGTGGAGTCTGAGGAGTATACATTGAGACTGTGATCTCTGCAACCTGTGCCCCACCCCCACCCCCCAAGAGGAGAGGGGACCGAAGGGGTGTGGTGCGATACCCTGCAGCCTCTCCTCTTAGACCAAGTGGGCAGGTCCTGGGAAGTTGGAGGCTAATTACTTTACAATACTGTAGTGGTTTTTGCCATACATTGACATGAATCAGCCATGGATTTACATGTGTTCCCCATCCCAATCCCCCCTCCCGCCTCCCTCCCCATCCCATCCCTCTGGGTCTTCCCAGTGCACCAGCCCTGAGCACTTGTCTCCTGCATCCAATCTGGGCTGGTGATCTGTTTCACCCTTGATAGTATACTTCTCATCTGTTTACCTCTCTCGATTCCTCCTCCACGTGCCCATCCACAGAACATCCCCTTGCTAACGTCTCCCAAGAGCTCAATGGGCCAAACCATAGTATCCAGTGCTCTATTGGCCACAGACACATTCCGTTTTCAGAAACACTTTTCCTTGGTCAGAGTCTGACATCAGCCCACTCCGGCTTTCCCCCTACGTCTCAGTCCATTACTCCTAAGTCTCCTTGTCTGTCCATTTACTTTGATCCCCTCCTAAATCTTGGTTTTGTTTTCCTCTGGTTTCCAGCCTCTGTCTGGTGCTCTTCCATTCTATACACGATCCTTGGGTGACCACGTCACCCCCCAGAGCTTTTACCCATCTGACTTGTTTTCATCAGTATCCCCCTGTAGGCTGATGGCTTTTCCTATCACCAAATCTACCTAAGACGTCTCAACTGGGCCCCAGATCACCCACAGGCTGAAGCATATGCACCATCTGCACTCAGATGTCCCATAAGCCCTGCAGACCTGCTAGTAGCCCCAGGCCAACGTTCCCTGTCTGATGGATGGGCACTTCCATCCACCCGATTTCTTAACCCCCAATCCCCGGGCATGCTGCTGGGTGTGATCTTCACTGTGCCAAGACTCCCCGGGAGCTGCTCTGCAAAAGGCTGACCCGAGATCTTCCTGTTGCCACAGGTGGGGATCCGTTCCTCTGAGAGGCCCCGTTCCTGCAGACACGCTCTGAAGATGTCCTGAGCACAGGCCGTCACCCTCTTTTGGATCTCCAAGAGAACCCGGGCACTGTAACATACCTCAGAGGTTGCAAGCGCTGTCTTTAACAGCACAGTGAGTCGGGACACAGCAGTGTAAGCCCATCATCGGGGGACGTGCCAAAGAATATCCGGAAGAGATCCCTAAAGGAGGACATTTCTGGAGGTGGGTCTTCATGGGTGTGCACCAAACAAGGGATTGCTTAACTTTATTTTTCCCAATAAAATCCTGTTCCTGTTTGGTCTTCATCTGAGCATGGGAGTTAATTTGATAACACTGGAAAAAGTTTAAAACTGCAACTGAGCACAGGCAGCAGATATGCTGACAGCCGATCCTTCTACATCAACATCAACAGCTACAATTCTCAGCCGTCTTGAATCTTCGAGGCACTATTCTGATCTGTCACATGAAGTTATCCCCACAGTGTTTTAGAAACGTATTCAGCTAACTAGGCACAAGGGATCTTGACAAGAGCTAAAACGTACTGAGTTTCACTAACGACAGAAGGGTTTTAACTGTAAAACTTTGGATCCAGGAACGCGCAGCAGAGCAAGCACAAGGTCGGTTTTCAAACAAGTGTTAATTTGGGCAAGTCGTCCCTTTCCTCAGCCCAAGATATCTGTCAAGCATAGCAGGTCATGATGGAAGCCTGCTTTCCTTATAGAGAGGAGTTGCAAATTTTTAATTTCCTCCTGTAAGAATGGGTTCTGCTTTCACAGCTGCAATCTCGGCTTTCACAAGAGAACATTTTCAGATAATGCTCAGGCCACGGCCACATTCCAGATCTACTACTTCAGACTCTCTGGGGATGTCTTGCCAGCACCGGCTCTTCTGAAGCCTCTCCAGGGGAGATTTGATGCACAGTTTAGGCTGAGGAGCACGATTGCGTGATGCTTTCACCCGTCCTGGTTTTATGTAGAATCCTGAACTGAAGAGCCTGGTTTGCTACTAATGAAATTTTAAAAAATTGTAATTACGTGTCTTCCCTTCTGAGAGGTATTTTTGACATATTTATTCACAGCCATATTTAGAACAACTTCAATGACTCAGTGGTGTGTCATGCCCCCAAGTCCCCCTTTGATACGAGACACTCAGGCAGATGGAAGGAAGGGAACGCACCTCGGTCCTGGCAGCAGAAGGAAGATGGATGGAGTTCCACTGTCTTGGTTGCTGCTCTGCTGAGCATCCCTCATGGGGTGCTGAGCTCAGGCAGGGGGCCTCACACTAGGCTACAGGTATTCCTGTGACCAGAGGTTGGAGGTAAGGGCTGAGATCCATTACCAGGGAAATGGAAGCTGGGTCGATGTGATTTGAGAAGAATGGAAAAACAGCTAAGGTAGAATTTCAGATGCAGGGTGGGTCCTGGGAGCCTGTCCAAAGCCATTGACTTGTGGTCACACAATGGGCACCTGTGCCTAAACACAGAGACACACTAGTCGTGTGTGCTCACTGGGGATTCTGTCCTGACGTGCACAGTGACTGTCTCTGGAGGGAGCATCTAGCACATGTGGAGGAGGCCGGACCCAGAACGTGGAAGGAGCAGGGGCACTCCTCGTTATTGCAAAAGCAGTGACACATCTTTTCCCACATGTCTCGCCTGGGCATCTGCATTACCTTCCTAAACTGTTTTACTGAGGTATAATTACATACCACAAGTCACACCCATTCGATGCATCCAGTGCAGTGTCTTTTAGGAACTTCACACAGTGGTGCAACCACCACCACCACAGTGCAGTCGTGGAACACTGCCAGCGCCACAAAAAGGGTCCGTGTACCCATCAGCAGTCAATCCCCAATAGGACCTGCAGGCCCAGGCATCCTCTCATCTAATTTGTCTCTGTAGATGTGCCCTTTCTGGGTATTTCATATAAACAGACTCCTGCGGGAAGTGGCCTCTTGTGTCTGGGTTCTTTCCCTTAGCATAATGCTTAGGAGGCTCACCCATGTGGCAGCAGAAAGCAGAAGCTCATCACTTTTCATCCATCTATGTTCTTCCACTGTATGGGTAGAGAATACTTTGTTTACCACTCTCCAGCTGACAGACTTTTAGGCTGCTTCACTATTTGGAGATTACAAACAGTGCTGCTGCGTGAAAGACATGTAAGAACAAGTATTTGTGTGGACCTAGGTTTCATTTCTAATTTCTCCACGATTTCATTTCTTGTTTTGCACGGTGCACAGGCTAGACCCTTCCATCAGTGTGGAATAGAGGTGGTTGAAGCAAACCTCCTGTCCTTGGTCTGGATCTCAAGAGGAAAGCACTAACTCAAACACTACTAGATGTGATGTGACGAGAGCTGGATATTTCTCACAGGTGTTGTTCAGCACAATGACGGCGATTCCTCCTATCCTCAGTTGGCTGACCGTGATCATTGATTTAGTTATTTACTTAATTATCACGAATGGGTCTTGAATTGTGTCAAATTCCTTTTCTTTGTCTGTCAAGATGACAGGTTTCTTCTGCCCTTCATTATACACTGTTTCCAGTAACTGAAGTTGTGTTAGTCCGATACTGTAATCCTGGGATAAATCTTGCACAGCCCTTTGCAAATCCTGGGATAAATCTTGCACAGCCCTTGCAAATGTTTCTTGATTTGGTTTGCTGATACTGTGTTGAGGGTGTGTGCATTGGTATTCATGAGAGATATGGGTCTGTAGCTTTCTGGTGATGTCAAGTCTGGCTTTGGTAGTGGGGTGATATTGTTCTTATAGGATGAATTAGGAAATGTTCCCTCCTTACTCCTGTCTTTCTGGAAGAATCTGTGAAGGCTGGGTGTTATGTCTTCTTAAACATTTGATAGTTTTCACTAACGAAGCCAGGAGGCCCAGGACTTCCCTTTGTGGGAAGGTAGTTAAATGAATGGTTCAATATCATGGCTTGCTACGGGTACATTCAGATTTGTTATTTGGCCACTGCATTTTAGCCAACTCCCATCCAGTAGTTTCTGGCCTGTTGTTTCCAATGGCTCAGTCTCTGGGCTAGAATTTGATGTGCTGGACAGCTCTGCACATCACAGGATTCTGGCTCCTACTCTGTTACTGGGGAGAGTATTCTGTCTCAGAAGTGACCCCCCAGATCAGCAACACCCAATAGGCAGGTTGGGGATACAGACCTTGAGGTGGGGAAGGGGTGGCACTGCTGATACCCTCATTTACACCGCCCATCCATCCTCCAGGTGCCCTCCTGCAGGCCGTTGTTAATCCTGCAGTTGGGACTGGCACATCAAGTACCCAGAGTACCCTGTCCCCTCCCCCACCATGTCCACTTCACCCTACCCCGATCCTTGTCACTCCTCTCGTCTCCTAGTAACGCAGCCTAACAGGGGATCAGTGATGCACTCGCCACCACATCTAAGGGTGTCGGATCTCCTCTCTGCTTAATGACTCAACTCTCAAGGGCAGGGACTAGCCAGGCAGTTTCTTCTCACCTCCCCATCCCCACAACCAGCTCGGCATGGCATGTGGGGGGATGTAACACATACAGTGAAAACCTTCATGATTAGCTATTTGAGGGACTGCGGTTGGCGGGATTGACCTGGGTTGGCTGCTGGAGTGAGCCAATCGCATCCCATCCTGGGGAATTTGTGCCAGGTGGGGATGACTATCCTTGCCCCAGTGCATTGTGGGTTGCATCAATGACGTGTCTTATCCAGACTTGGTGTGCCACCAGACAATGAAGTCACCAGGTCCTTTCTCTTCACCCCAGCCTTTACAGAGGATACAGTTGGGGATGCTCTGTCAGAAATAAACCTGCTCTCATATGGCCTATTACTCTATGACAAAGGAGCCAAGAACATACATTAGGCAAAATGCTGTCTCTTCAATAAATGGTTATGGGAAAACTGGACCCCTTTCTTATACAACATTCAAAAATAAACAACAACAACAAAAGATTAAAGATGAAATTGTTAAACCTTAAACCATAAAACTCCTAGAAGACGACATAGCCTGTATGCTCTTTGACATAGGTCTTAGCAATAGTTTTTTTTTTTTTTTGACATGTCTCCTCAGGCAAGAGCAACAAAAGCAAAAATAAACAAATGAGAGTTCATCAAACTGAAAAGCTTTTACGCAGCAAGAAAAATCATCAACAAAACAAAAGGGCAACCTGCTGAGCGGGAGAGGTTATAAGCAATCGATATGTATTCGAAAAGAGGTAGCTATACAAAATAGCTAAAGGACTCATAGAATGTACTATGGAAACATACCCTAAACCCGACTTAAAAATGGGGCTAAGCACTGAATAGACATTTCTCCAAAGAAGAGATACAGATGGCCAACAGCCATATGAAAACATGCTCAACATCTCATCGTCAGGGATAAGAAAATCAAGAGCACAGTGAAGTACTTCCTCACACCTGTCAAGTAGCCATTATCAAAAAGAAAACAAGTAATAAATGTTGGTGAGAATGTAGAGAAAAGGAAACCCTCGTGCCGTGTTGGTGGGAATGTACACTGGTGCAGCCACTATGGGGAAAATGAGCATTTCCTCAAAAACTGAAAACTAGAACTATGATATGATCCAGCAATTCCACTTCTTGGTGTTTTCCTGAAAAATAGAAGAAACATTAGTCACAAAAGATATATGTGCTCTTCTGTTCACTGCAGCATTATTTACAATAGCCAACATATGGAAGGAACCTCAGTGCCCATGGATAGGTGAATCAAAAAGGAAGAAATGGTATACACACACACACACACACACACACACACACACACACAATGGAATATTATTCAGCAATAAAATGAATGAAATCTTGTCATTGTCGATAACCTGGATGGACCTAGAGGGTATGATGCCAAGTGAAGCTAGGCACACAGAGAAAGACAAATACCACACAGTTTTGTTTATATGTGGTATGTCAGAAATAAAATGAGAGAACACAGGAAGCAAAACAGAAATAGAGTCAGAGGCACAGAGAACAAACTGTTCATTACCAGAGGAGGAAGGAGTAGGGAGATGTGTAAAATAGGGAAGGGATTAAGAGATACAAACTTCCAGTTATAAAATAAGTCACAGGAATGGAATACACATACAGGGAATATAGTCAATAATCTCATAATAAATCTCTATGTCGACAGATGGTAACCAAACTTATCATAGCAATTCATTGCATAAAATTTACCAATATGGAATCACTTTGTTGTGCACTTGAAAGGAATTTAATATCATATGTCAACTTTGGGCTTCCCCAGTGGCTCAGTAGTAAAGAATCCTCCCAGAATGCTGAAGCTGCAGGAGGCGTGG